TCCAAAGTAACTGAACCTTCACTGACCAAGTCTCTTATGAAGTGTACCTTGATAGATATATGTTTTGTTCTTCCATGATACGCCGGATTCTTGCTCATTGTTATGCTTGCCTTGTTGTCACAAAAAATTGTTGTAGGCTTCTTCTACCCTTGCTTGACATCTTCAAGAATTCTTCTTAACCAAACAGCTTGACACGCTGCTGCTGTAGCTGCTGTATACTCTGCTTCTGACGACGACAAAGCTGTAACATGCTGCTTCTTAGAACTCCAACACACCGCTCCAGAACCCATATTGAAAACATGACCTGACGTGCTTTTTCTGTCTTGCACACAGCCTGCCCAATCACTGTCTGTAAACTCAACCAACTCAAACTCTCCAACTCTGTTGTACCACAGACCATAGTCCGTTGTACCTGCAACATACCTCAACAACCTCTTAGCTGCTCCATAATGCTGCTTCGTTGGACTGTGCATAAACCTTGAAATTGCACTCACAGCAAACGAAATATCTGGTCTTGTATGAGTTAAATAGATAAGACCACCAACCAAACTTCTGAATCTTGTTGCATCCGCTTTTTCTGTTCCATCTTCCAACTGCAACTTCTCATTCACATTCATAGGAGTTTCCACCGGATTGCAATTCGTCATGTTGAACCTCTTCAACAAATCTTTTGCATACTTGTGCTGAGACACAAATATCCCATCTTCCACTTGCTTAATCTCTAACCCCAGAAAATAATGCAGCAAACCCAAGTCTGACATTTCAAACTTCTTCATCATACTCTCCTTGAAATCAGCAACAAGTGCAGCACTCGAACCCATGTAAATCATATCATCTACATATAAACACACAATAAGGATATCACCTTCACTTTGCTTCTTTATGTAGAGAGTGTGCTCACTTTTGCTCCTTTCAAACCCAGTTTCTGCAAAAAACGAATCAATCTTGTTGTACCAAGCTCTCGGAGCCTGGTTCAGCCCATACAATGCCTTGTGTAACTTGTACACGCACCCTTCTTGGCGTTCAACCACAAAACCTTCAGGCTGATCAACATAAACCTCTTCAGGTAGCTCACCATTTAAGAAAGCTGACTTAACATCAAACTGGTACATTGGCCAATTCATACTTGCACCAAACTGAAGTAAAACTCTCACTGTATCAAACCTTTCAACAGGAGAAAATGTTTCTTCATAATCCACTCCGTACTCTTGTGCATAGCCTTTGACCACCAGTCTTGCTTTATACTTCTGAACACTACCATCTGCATGATACTTTGTTCGAAATACCCACTTCACACCAATTGCGTGTTTGCCTTCAGGAAGCTCAACAAACTCCCAAGTCTTACTCTTCTCTATGGACTCTATCTCTTCATCCATTGCTTTCTGCCACTCTGATTCCTCTACAGCCTCGTTGAACGATCCTGCCTCAGAAATGAACAACGCTTGCTGAACTTCATAAATCTCTCTCAGAGATCTAAATTTTTGAGAAGGACTCTCTTCTTCACTGCTTGTGTCACTGCTACTATTAGGCGAATGAGGGACCGAATTTGCGGGTGTACGACCTTCAGAACCAACTGGAGTCTGATTCTCTCCCTGCTCAACAGTACCGTGCTGTTCTACAGAGCTGTCTGGCTAAACTTCAACAAGCTCACCGTTATCACCCTCACACCAACTCCAAACTGCATCCTCGTCGAATGTGACGTTCCTGCTTTCAACAATCTTCCCACTCACAGGATTATACAATCTATAACCTTTGGATTGTGAACAATAACCAAGAAATATGCATTTTTCAGATTTGTCATCCAACTTTCTCCTGAGATGAATATCAACAAGAGAATATGCAACACTTCCAAATATTCTCAAGTGACTTACTGCAGGTTTTCTGCCACACCACGCTTCAAATGGAGTTTTGTCTGCGACTGCTTTTGTTGGTGAAATGTTCAGCAGATACACTGCTGTGCTCACACTTTCAGCCCAAAACAGATTTGGCAAATTCTTCTGTTTCAACATACTTCTCGCCATCTCTACAACAGTCCTGTTTTTCCTCTCTGCTACACCATTCTGCTCCGGTGTATAAGCTGTAGTAAGCTCATGATGAATACCTTCATCTTCACAAAATTGGTTGAACTCAGTAGATGATAACTCTCCACCTCTGTCAGTTCGCAACACCTTGACTAACAATCCACTTTGTTTCTCCTCTAGTGCCTTAAACTTCTTGAACATCTCAAATGCTTCACCTTTAGACACCAAAAAATAAACCCAGCTCATCCTGCTGTAGTCATCTGTCAACATCAGAAAATACTTACTTCCTCCAAGAGAAGTAGTCTGCATAGGACCGCACAAATCAGCATGAACAATCTCAAGACATTGAGTTGCTCTTCTTGCCTGACCAACAGGAAACGACCTCCGCGTTTGTTTCCCATATATGCATCCTTCGCACATCCCAAAAGCATCAATATGTGGTAATCCAACCACCATATTCTTCTGACTGAGAATCTTCATCCCATTCTCGTGTAGATGCCCATATCGTAAATGCCACAACCTTGACATCTCTGAAACTTTCGCAACCAAAGCACTTGCTTCAATAGACGACATCTGTAACGGGTACAGATTATTTGCAGTCTTCTTCACCACTGCTACTGTGAAATCGGATTTCTTATCCTTGATAACACACACATCCCCATCAAAGAAAATAGAACAATTGTTTTCCACCATCTGTCCAACACTCAACAGATTCTGCGCTAGATCAGGAATGTAATACACATCATAGATGAATTTGAGATTACCATCGCTATCTTTGACAGAAACGATTCCTCTTCCTTCAACTTGAACTTCTTTGTCATCCCCAAGCTTGACTTTCAGCCTATACGACTCATCTATCTCCTTAAACAATGACTTGATGCCTGTCATATGATTAGAACAACCGCTGTCCAAATACCACACTGTTTCAGACACATTTAGACTCTTGTATGCCATGAAAAGTCTCGGCTGCACATCTTCTTCTGCAAAGCTCGCTTTCTTTTCTTCATTTTGCTTCTTCCAGCAATGAGCTTGCATATGACCCAACTTCTTGCAATAATAACACTCAATATTGCTCTTGTCTGTACCTTTGTTGTACGACCCACCAGTGTTGTTCTGACCTCTTCCACGGCCATGGTCTGCGCGACCTCCAGATCTGCCTTTTCCTCTGCCAGATCCTCTACCAGAACCATTACTGTGACCCTGTCCTGAGTACTCTCCCTTCACCTGGAAAGCTTTCTCCTCAGACTTTTCAACCTTCTTACCAAGACGATCTTCATGCGACAACAACGAACTCATCATCTCATCAAACGTGTACTTGCTCAGATCATTGGCTTCCATGATCGCAGGAACAACATACTCAAACTTTGGAACTAAAGTTCTGAGAACTTTACTCACAATAGTTTCGTCTGACACAGTTTCGCCATAAGATCTCATTTGGCTCACAATGTTTGACACCCTTGCCAAATACTCTTGTATTGACTCTTTCTCCTTCATCA